GTCAGTTCTTTTCTCCTGCCTCTTCTGCAGTTCATTGTTTCTCTTCTCTTCCATCTCTGTTAGATTTGTCAGTATGAATATCCTAAATTCTTTATCAGACATTTCCATAACTTCCATTGAAGTGTCTGTGAATGAAGAGGAGTTATTCTTTTCCCTTGCAGGAGAGGTATTTTCTTGCTTTCCTATATTTCTTGTGGCCCTGAGGTGATTTCTAGTCATCAGATAGATGGTGTGTTTCTTCCTAATTCTTGAAGTTCAATCTGAGTGTTCAGGAGCATGCTGGAGGAGGTGATCTGGAATCTCTTTGCCATTCTGTGTTTATCCCTTTGTGCAGCAGATTCAGTGGATATTGAGGAATATGTTAACCCTAGTATTATTTGGATGTTTCGCTATGGTTCCCTTAGATCTGCCTAGAAATACAGTGAATGGAGATTGAAGAGCAGAGTGATGAGATAAAAGAAAACAGAGAGAGAGGGAAAAAAACAACAACAAAGAAACAGAAAAAGGAAAAAAATTAAAAACAACCAAAAAGATTTATTTTTTAAAAAAAAACAAAAAAAAAAAAAAAAAGAGAGAGAGAGAGAGGAAAGAGACAGAGGAAGAGAGAGACAGAGACAGAGAGAAGGCTAGAGGGGCTCCCTACCATTCAAGTTTGGGGACTGGAGGCTGAATTATCAGTAGAAAATCTTCATTTTTCTTTTTCCCTGAAATTGCTAGTTCTCATGAGCCATGGAGGAGTCTTCTTCTGAAGGCCTGCCCCTTGCCTCTCTCAAGCTTGATGATTCAAATGTTGGCAAGAATGATAACTTAAATGATGACTGCATTTTCAGAAGAATCCTTGGAGAAATGGAGAACGTGGAATAGCATTTTTTTTTCTATTCTCCTCAGAAACGAGTTAATGACGGCAGCCTCAACAGAATCTATGAAGAACCGAAAAGAATAGAGTATTTCCAATGTTGAAAGAAAAAAACGAAAATGTGAAGAGAATTCTATATTCAGTCTAACTTTCCAAACCATGAAATGAGATTTCTGCCTAAACACACTGTGGTTGGACTATCTGTAACTTTTGTTGATAATGGAAGTTCTACTCCATAATTCAGTTTTAAACCACATTATGGGGACCAGCAGTTGGCGTAATGGCTATGTTGCTGGACTCCCATGTAGTCGACCACAGCTCAAGTCCCAAACTCAGTGGCTTAAACTCGCACTGGGCGCGTGTGCGTGCATGCCCAGGATCCCGAGAGGAGAATGGATTGCAGTGTGGCCATCCCCTCTAGGGGGTGATTTCTCGCTTTTTGTCTGT